TGTTGCCGTCAGTTCTTACCTGTCTTATATATATATAAGAATACCACATATCTAGTAGCCTCTCGAGACTTCAGGAAGGGACAGGATCCTTCTAGAATTTCATGCCGTGTTACTAGAGTCACGTGACCCCCGCTGTCGTAACAGTATTATCAGTGATGTTTTGTAGGATGGTGATTCAATGGCCCTTAACACGAAAGTGGTCGTTCATGGATTTGGGTAAGAATTTAATAAATACAACAGTCAATATTTCAGGGATGCCACCTATTTGTCAGTTATGTTAATTCTCCGACATCAGCTTCAACAGGTTGTCTTCTGTAAGCTTCTTAAAAGTAAATATTCTTCATGCGGACCTGGAGCTCTATTTTAAATGTATCTATAGTTTTTGTATTTTGTCCAAGAAGTAAATACTAGTCTTTACACTTACATAACTGGAACGGAAGAGGGTGTGGTAATTTTATATGATTAACTGTGGACATAGTGTTTGAGCCAAGAGGTTGTTATCCATATATTATCAGCCTTTGACTTTCGGAAGGAAAATAAACAGTAGTCAGCCACGCTCAGTTTTGTGAAAGGATAATTTAATATCTCTGTATTGCTCCACTACATTTATATCTAGGAATTCGTGAATTTACAAAATGTAATTGCAAAATCGGCTAATAACCTTCTTTGCTATCCGACTCGAAAGTGTCTCGCGTGTACACATTTATTTTTTGTAAAAGCTTTCCATCAGCGAACTCTTTCTAATCAAGTATAGATAAATCCTGTAGATCATATTTATTAACGAGTTTATCAAGTATTAATGAACCATTTGATGGCTAGTTTAAATACAAGGAAACTATAACCATTGGCGTAACACACTACAGAAAGCTGATTGTTAGCTACCTAAGGATACACAATTTAATTAACAAAGGTATGGAACTTTTAAGCGCTGACAGTTAGCAAATTTTACGTGTGAATATGTATGGCAGATTAACTTTCGTGTCTGTTGGCCCATTGTGTTCACATGATCTTAATATCAATGTGCGTGAACTCTTCCAAATAGCTTTTATATGTTTGTTTTTGATATTCGTACAAAGCTACTCGAGAACTGTTTGCGCTACCACCCATTGCTAACTATTAAGCTATTATTTATCAGTGAAGAGTGGGCTTGATTGTCACATTATAACGCTCCCACGGCTCAACATGTTCGAGGACGAGATTCGAGCTCGTGACCAACAGATTGTAAGTAGAGCACCCTAAGTTCCAAATAACACTGCAGAGAACATGTTATTAGTGGTGTAAAGTAAAATTAATCTACGTTCATATTATTATTTGTGAATAGTTTTTTAATATGAATAAAGAGGCTTGAATGTCATGTAGATAATCGTTGCATATACTTCATTATTACTCTACTATTTTGGTAAGATTGAACAAAAATTTTTCAGTATCAGAAACATTATTATATTAATGATGTTTATTTTTAAACTTAACATCAACTTACTAGTCGTTGTCTGATACTTAATTGTAAGTTTATGGAATAAAATTATTTATCTTGTAAAAAACGTTTTACACTTTTATCACTATAACAACATAGAATTACATCATCATTAAATGTTGTCATATTTGAAAAACAATAACTTGAATATTATTTTTTGTTTTAAACAAAACGTGTTACCGTTTTTAATTACTATAAGATTCAGTTTATTGAATTTAGCGCATAATTGCTTTATTTCACCTGTTTTAACGACGCCCATCACTATGTGACCCCCCCCCCCAGTGCCACAGCGGATTGTCTGCGAACTTACAACGCTAGAAACCGGGTTTCGATGCCCCTGGTGGGCAGAGCACAGATAGTACATTGTGTAGCTTTGTGCTTAACTTCAAATCAAACAAACACTATGTAACAGTAGTGTATTGCTTGTCAGTCAGTCAGTGGACACTGAAACTACGTCACCAAAGGGACGCTTAACGTTTCAATTTGTAGTGTCATGACGTTATTAAAATATGTGCATGCCATGGATCACGAGAAAAATTATGCGCTTTATAGGCTACAACGCAGCGTGACATATGAACTTCAAAAGCAGAAATAAACATTTTTGTTACTCTTAATTTTGGTTTTATTTACTCTTGAAAGGAAACACTTTTGGGGAACCTGCGTAAGTACATTTAAATTGAGTATCTTATTGTGTCTGTGTATTCAGAATCGGTTTCCAAGGTATGTAGAAATATTATAAAGATGTGTTGGTCAAGAAGAAGTAGTTCTAATGGCAGCACGGATTTGGTGCATTGTTCTCACAAATTTCTGGCGTTCAAGTATACTGATGTCCAACAAAAAAATAAAGTACCTGTACGAAGGTTGCAGAAATATTACACAGACCAGTTGGACCAATACAAAAGAAGATACGTCCTGTAAAAGTAAGAGAATTTGTTGTATTTTAATTTGGTGTTTGTAAATTCTGAACATTTGATTAAGTTATTGTTAATTATATATTGGTTTAATGTAAGTGACTATTGTTCGGGACGAACAATACTAAGGAAGGGGCAGAATTACGCGGAAGTCACGCGACTCTGGGAGCATGTGCGCTGGAGTTTCTAGAAGGATCAAGATTTATCGAGGAACCTTGCAAATGTCCGAGTGTTTGCCAGACACCGTCTTTTTTTAGTATATAAGCCAGGCAAATAAAAAATAGAGAGGCAGATAGATTTAAGATAGAGTCAAGCAAGCAGTAGGCACAGTAAGTAAAGTGTG